TCTCTCTTATTTCATTGATGAGGAATATGTCTTTGCTTCATATGAATGTTGATGTTGGACTTGTGATGAGTAGCTAAATTCGTTAACTAGGGCTAGGGGATAATTGTTCCGGTTCAATTTCGTTTGTATGAATGTTGATTGCTCAATCCATTCGAGTTGTGCTAAATCTAGGGTTGAATTGATTGATCACCTTTTTAATCCACTAAATCGATCTTTAGAACCGAAAGGGGAGGGATCGATTGATCTAGGCTCGTTTAGAATAGACTTGTTCGGAGACGTATTGTCTATATGCTGATTGATTCGATAATTGTTCATTTATATTTGTTCTCTTGTTATGTGAGTTATTGAGAATGAATCTCTGAATGAGTGCGGTTTTCGTGTCTTTTGGCCGAGCGATTGATTGTCATTTAATGTATTGAGAACCGAAAACGATTGTCCCCGACACCCTAGTCCTTCTTATCATTCTTGGAATCGTGTTTTTGGAGTGTTAAATTGGAATTTCTTGTTTGAGTGTCATTAGTTGTTAATCTCGTAGTTGATAATTAAAACCAACCAATTGAATTAGGATGTTTAGGATTTAATTTCTCTTTTTTGTGATTGAATATACGTACAAGATAATCCGGCTAACCTTCCTTGAGACACGACCCGGTGTTCGAATCTTTTGATTTAACTCCAGTAAAAAGAACTACAACACCGTCTTCCGGTAGCCTCTTATGAATTAAACACAACAACAATTACGATTGAAGGTCTAATTCAGCTGTAGATATGAAAAGCATAATCAAGGTGATCAATCTAAATAAGACTCAACACATCATGGTTAATTATTCAAAATAACACAAACAATTCCAAAAGGTAATGAAATTATCAATCATGAAAATCAATAAAACATCGTCAAGTCGTAGGGTTCGACTTCCTCGAAACTAGAAATAAAATCTACTCTAACATAATAAATAAAGATAAAAGAAAGATAATAGAATTATTCCCTTTCGTGTGCGGATGCGGCCTCCCTCTGCGATTGATCGGCTTCCCCGTATTTTCTTGGTCCGCTGCTCTTCTTTTCTACGTGAACTAGTGTGTATCCCGTGCGATGCACGGGAACAATATTAAATTAACAATATTTGAATAGACTTCGAGTTTGAGTCATTCAATGGCGGAAGTGGAAACTACTATGATCCTATTTAAAAAGAAAAAGAAAAAAAAAATTATAAATTAAAGAGGAGGATAAACAATACTTAATAATTATAAATTAAAGATTCGGGGTCAAACAATGTAAAATTATTTTGTATAAGAGAATATAAAAAAATTTGATTACACACCATTTCAAAATTATTGTTATACATTTTTGTATGGTTAGCTTATAATATTTGTAAAAATATTAATAATTACACCGATAAAAATTAGCTTCTTAAAGTAGATAATGGATTTCTAGTAGTAATTATGAATTGATTTCTATTTTATTTTATTTTTTCTTTTTAAAAATAATGGATTTCTAGTAGTAATTATGAATTGAGTTCTATTTTATTTTATTTTTTCAAATCTATATAGATAATGGATGAGATTTTTCAAACACGTGAGACGTATGCATTGGAATTTTGTAACATAAGAGATAAGCTCGTGTAGATTTATACTAAAAATAGGAAAAGGAAAAACAAATATTTATTGTCAAAAATGATTTTGATAAACTAAAAAAATAGGAAAAAAGAGAAACAAATATTTACACAATTAATGAGCCGATTTTTTTGCCTATTCAGATTTGTCCAATAATTACTATGTGTAGGATATATTTAATGATTTTGGCGGGAAAAAGTTTCTAAATTTGTAAAAATGTTATTCTTTTTATATAATGATAGATATATGTCTCTGTGTTGCGACTGCTGCCTCGTTTATTCTCCTCGTGTGTTGCGTGTATTTATGTTCGCAAATAAATCCTCCGCCACCTGTACGTGCGTGAATGTCTCCAGGAAATTAAAACTCTTCCAAATCTTCCATCCAATCAAAACTCCTCCCAGGTAAACAAATATGGCTTGCGTGAGTGGCCTCTTCCAAGCAAATAATTGTCCTCTAACTTAACCTCATTGGGCCTAGCTCATGAAATGGGCCCAATTTCTTTTTTTAATGTGCCTTATTCGATTCGGTATTCGGGCATCCCGATGAATGCTACTCGAACTCCCGTCAACAGCTTCGTCATCCACAAAAATACTCTAATATCCTAAAAATAAAACAAAAAAATATCAAAGCACCAGAATTCATCTGAAGAAATAAACAAGTCGAAAAATACACACTTTTTTCCGACCAATCAGTAGGGCTGCAAATGAGCAATTCGACTCGAGCATTGGTCTTATCAAACAGTATTTCTTTTAGTGGCTCGAGCTCAAGCTCGACTCAATAGAAAAAGTACAATAGCTCAAGCTCGACTCGAAATCAAAATGCTCGAACTCGGCTCGAAAAATTTTAAGTGAAAAAGTAAACTCAGCATTAATCATCTATGTTGTACTATTGTAATATATATATAAGGGGTATTTTAGCACTTCAACATATATCTCGAGCCGCTCGATGAGCCACCCGCCAATGCAAAATATGGGCTCGAGCTCGACTCGAGTTCGTGCTTGAGCCGCTCGAGCTCGACTCGAACTTTGACTCTAGCTCTCGCGAGGTTCGTTTGCAGCCCTAGGATTCCGACCTGTGGCGTCCGACGGGTTCCGACCAGCCTCCTCGACGTTGGTTGGGGCTGAGGTATGGCTCATTATCCCC